CTGTTGCCATGATTTTATTTTCTGTTTAGGTTTTCCCATGAATCCTTCGGGGTTCATCACTGTGCTTAATTTCTGCTTTGATACCGATATCTGAGGTAGATAAAGAATAAATATGTAAAGTCACTAACCAGTGCTGAATGTGCATATTTCCAAAAGATAGGAATCTTTCCATTGCACATTTTATGGGTCAGGTCATTCTATTTGCAATCTAGCTGTATTTTCTTAATTAGCTCTGAGGCAACATGCACTAAAACATCATATTGCTGGATATTATGTATACTAATAAAGATATCAAGTGGAGCTATAAAAAGTTTAATTGCCACATGCCTGGATTGTAGCTGACTGAAAGTTGAATGGCATATTTTGTTGGGCTTTGACTGCTGCAAACATTTGTGTGGAGCTCCTAAATTAAAGCAAGTGTTCCGATGTGCCAGTTGCTGTGCAGGCTTCCCTCGCAACCCCTTTTCTCTCCGTGTATCTCAGTTCTGACTTCAAACATATACTGCACTGTTTCTCTCTTGCATTTGACTTGAGCTTGGAGTGACAGGTTTGCTGATTTATCAGTGATCATTTCACTTGTGCCCTGATTCTGGGTTTGAGCCCCGGTCTCTTTAGCAGGGGAGGGGGAAAAGGTCTTTTATGTTTTTGGCATAATTACTGCCTTTCTGGACCTTTTCCTCTTGCTGTCTTCCTTACACTAGTGTGCTGATTAAAGGTTATGGGATTTGCAGTGTCAAACCCAAAGGCTGAGACAAAAAATAAAATATTTGAGGGAATGCATGCGTTTTTTTTCCAAACAATTTCCTTGCCTTTACAGCACATCTTTTTAGTATGCATTAAACTACAAAGGCTCTTCCTTGCATTTAAATAATCTTAAATTCCAGTTCAGTTGACTTGTGCAGACACATCTGAAAGCTGCTTTTTGGTTATATATAGCAGCATTTTGGATGAAATGGGTACTTGTAATCCTGAATGCTGCTAACATGTAATGTGTGCTAGGAGAAACTCATAACCAACAGCACTTGACCGACCCATTGTTATTTGAGGTCTTTGTGTGTCTTCCTGTGTCTTGAAGGGTTGTAGTGTTGTCACTATGATGGTCCAGGACATGTATGAGAGGTGAGGATATCTTTTATTGGACCAAATGTGTAGTTGGGAGAGCTTTTGGGTTTCAAGTCCCCTTGTTCAGCTTCTGTCCTGAGGAAGGGCACTCAGTGCTTGAAACGTGTCCAACAGCTCTCCCAACTATACAGCTAATCTAATAAAAGAGGTCACAAAAACCCTTGTCTGCTGTATCCTTAGCAGTTCAACTAGTGGAGACCACAAAGATGGCCACTGGATCTCTCCTTATCCAAGGTGGCTACTTCCAGGAACACCCAGACAGCCAACAAGGTAGGGGTCAGGGGAGTTTGGAAGATTTAAATGGGTTACGTGCAGCTATTGAGATGCTATTATTTCTTAGACAAAAGTGGGAAGGAGGGGTGAAGGCCCTACCGTGAGAGCCCAGCTGTCAGCTGTTACTTGTAGGCAGAAAACACGGACAGATTTGAACCTGGAAGCCTTTCAGACACTTTTACTGCAGGGTCTGCTCTACCATATTTTAAAACTAGAAGTGGTATTGGGGGAGTGGAGTCAGTGATGTATGTTTTATCTTTGGAGCTTCATAAAAGAGTTCCTTTCCATCAATTTTCTTGGACCTTACATTTGAATACAGGTGCTGCATTGCTCTGTCTACAATTAACTACCCGTATGCCATACAACATGGTGTCTTAAAAATCATTTGTAAAAGAACAAAGTTACCTTTTGACCCAACATGTGGTAAAGACAGGAGTGCAAAAAGCCCCAAAGAGGGGCTTTTTATGTGAGAAAAAGGGAGAAGCAGCTTGAGAATGGGAAAGAAAAAAAGCTTATTCATATCTTTACTAACTAATTCTTTAATCTTACTTTCCTCTGGGAGGATGGCACCTGGGAGACTAGGAATTTCCAAAGAATAGCAGGGATTTCATATATTTGATCACGACCACACCTGGATACGCTGAATATTTTGCAGTAATAATTATGTCTGCACACCTGCTAGTTTGAGTCCCGTATCAGTTTGCCAGACATGCCTAGAGAGATTTATTTCTGGCGTATCTGAAAAATCTCTCTTTACCACCAAGTTTCTGCTATTCTGAATGAATAAAAAAAAAAGGAGTTTTTTGAGCCTTAGCTCAGGCTGTCTGTATCTCAGACTAAATCATGGGGAGGGTTTGTGTGCATGTGAGGGGTGGGGAACAGGGATGGGGTGTTTGGACGATATTTTAATAGCAATTTGTTTTTGCTTCTATGTGTGATAGAAATACAAGTGACAGGAGTGGGAACAGGAGAGTTGCTGAATTCTGCTGGAATTTTTCCTGTGGGAATCTGTTAATGTTTTTAATTCTCTGAGAGATTTTTCTAAGGTAATCTTTGTGACATTTACATTTTTAAATGACTATTATTAATTGAAAGCTTAACTTTTTTTTTTATATACAAAATGCTGAAGTGATGGATCCAGAGGAGGTTCAAATTGTTTAAGAAAAAGTCCCTCTCATGGCATCGCAAACAAAGTGGGGTTTTATAAAGATTATTAATAGTGAATTGTTCTTTAAAGTTATGTAACCGAAGGAGATTAAACCATCTCTATGCTTGGCAGCAACCTCTTTTGCAGGACAAAGCCCTTTATAATAAAACAGATATGAGGGCCACAGACATTAGCTTATTAGAGCACCAGGCTGGACATCTGGGTTTTTCCAGCCTGCCTGCTATTGCCAGTGAATAGAAATGCAAGTGACCCAACCGGAGGATCAGCAGTTGCGTCTTGTCAAACATACCGTATAGGTGTCCATAGCATTTTGGAGCCCATTTTGACCCCCAAAGTAGAATAGTGCTATCAGTTCAGGAAGAACTAGAAAAATAAAGAGGAACAACATAGTAATGACCAAGCCAAATGTAGAGCAGCAAGGTGTTGCACCTCACAGGGCTCATCTCTTACAAACCGGTAGTGCCATAAGCAAAACTTTTCTATTGTCTTGCTTTATAAGCCAACGGTCATACCAGAGTGTCTCAGACAAGCAGGTAGTCCAGGGCAGAGGATTCTTTTAGGCATTTTGAAAGTAAATGTCTTCTCACTTTGCTCGATGAAAACCTTTTCCAGATTTTGGTGTTAGACCAAGACTCCTAAGTAAATTCATGCAGTTTTGCATGAACAGGCTTGCTTGCTCCAGATTTACTCAGCATCAGAATAGGTTGCCCTGGCGTTCCAGTGTTGTCCAATAAGTGTTGTGCTAATTAGATAACTCATTAGAGATGCGTGGACTCCTAAGAGACATTGGAATATTTCACTACTGGGCTTGCAACTGAGCACAATAACAGCATTTAGGATTTAGATAGCAATTTTCCTCAGCAAAACATTTTGTAAACATCAGTCGTTTTTGTGTTGTCTCTGTTTGTAAAATGGGGATACTAGAGTCTGAGGAAAGGCTCGCTGCCGTGTTTTCAGAAGAATTTTAGGTGACTGAAGATACAGATGGACCCCAGTGGGATTTTTGAAAATGCTGAGGTGCATGACTACTGTTGATTTAATACCTTTTTATCTGCTGAAATTGCTCTCACACAACCAGCAGTTGGAAAACTTTGAATTGTGACATTGCCACATCTCACCAAAAGTCACCTTTGCTGGCTTGCCAACAGCAGTTAATAAGAGAAAATCACCTGGTGTCGTCAGCAGAACACAATGTGAGGCTGTTGATGCAAGGCATGGCATAGTAAACTCGGTTTCCAGATAGGTACGTGTCATTAGCAAAGAAACAGTTTCCGGAGAGCTAAAACTTGCTTTATTCACTTATGTATGTCTGCAAGTATTTTTCTTCTCTATCCAGACAGAAGGCTTTTCTAAAGCATTGTCCTTGTAAAGACATGCATTAGGAGCGTCTGTTTCATGCCAACTAAAAACTCCCGACATCCATGCACACGCTTGCTGTCTGTCAGCAGAAACTTCTGTGTTGGTAATTAGAAAAATGGTATTAAATCTGCCTCATAATCCTAGATAGCCTCTGGGTTGACTCAATTCCATTTTGTCTCCCTCCCTCAGAACCATACCTCCGAATCGGTCCTCCCTGTGACATGCTCTGCATTAGCTACACTGAATATTGAGAAGGCTCCAAAGTTGAATTGTCATTAGAGAGTGATTAGAACGGTATTAGGTACAGGCCTGGAGTCCACATAAAGTGACCTTCAGTGACAAAGTGCTTATTGTAACAGCAAGCCTCATAATAAGGATGAAGTGTGTTACAGGCAGGCACCACAAGGCTGAATCTCACCATGGGGCACAACCTTGTGTAGGTGCATAATCAACTGAAATTTTCTCCAGGCTAGTCCTGAGTCCTGACCAGCAGACCAACACTGTAGAACAGATGAGTCAGTGCATTACAACATGGAGGTGATGCACTGAGCTGATTAATTTTCATAGCTAAGCACACAGTAGTATTGAGGCAGAGTAATGTTAGATTGTAAAAGGTTGTTTCATTGCAAACCTAAAACATAGCAGGTGAGTCTACACATTCATTAATGTGCCGTACTCACTGTGCATTTGGTTTAGTACTTCCTTAATTAAGTACTAACTGACTGCGCAAGTAACTACATTTGCTGCGCAGTAGTGCCGGCGTATGGTTTTTTGTGACACTTACTGCGCAGTAGCCAAATAACGCTGCACAGCAGGTTATTAGCATGACTTTTGAGCAACACACTACTATGCAGTGTTATTAGGTTACCGCACAGTAAACATCTTGTGTAGATGTGCCCAATGTGGCTTAATTAGGAATTATAGATACCATGGTATTAGGGCTGTGTAAAAACCCAAGGTAGAACTGAATCTCAGCTCATGTAGGTTGCTGTAATCACTGAGTCTTGTCAAATAAACAAAAAATTAGAATCTGACAGGTATACAAGATGAATGTCTACTGAAAAATGGAAATGATTTAATTTCCTATGTAACTTTTAGTACCTCTGTGTTGCAGTTCTTTCTGATTCCTTTACTGTGATCCAGTTAACTTAGCAAATGCTTCTTTGAGCTGGTGTAACACATGACTAAACAGCTTGTTGAAAGAAAAATGATGACAGCTCTCATGAGTTCCCCTGGCTTTTCAGTCTGTTCACTTTTTGAATGCAGGTAATAAAGTCATGGGCTGTTGCCACTGATTTCACAGAAAAGCAGTGAAAGCCTTTTTAAAAATGCTCATTACAGTGCTGTTTTCCAGATAATTTTGCATAGAGTTTATAATTTATAAAAAATTAATTATGATCCCCCAGCAGTGTTCTGGAGGCTCATCTATAGCAAATTCCAACATAGTTTTCCTGCCATCTATCTACAGAGGTGCTCTTTTTTTTTTATGTTTGGGAGTCTTTACACAGTGAACAGGCCTCACTGAGCCCTCAGTCAAACAAACATTTCAGAATGTGCCTATCTGGATCACGTGAGCAGCCCTTTTAAAAGCCAGTATGATGAGTTGTGCATGAAGTTATGCACATATGTTTGTGCCTTGCTCAGTTGTGGCCTGTGACCATCAATTTGAAAAACGGGGGTACTCTGTTTTTCACAGTCCGTTAGTCCGTGAAAGACATTTGATTTCTACTAATGGGGGGCCATATTTGAATAAGACCTAGAAGTGGAAAGATCTCTATCCCTTTATCCTTCCTTTAAGGAATAGAGTTGCCTGCAAATACAGTATTGAACATAGTTGTCATAATTTTTTTATATAACCATTTTTGAACAAAAGTTGGAGCACTTTTGCATAATGAGACTCTCATGCCAAAATTATTATAGTTCTGATCTCATCTGAAATCCTTGTCGGCAGATAAATTCCTGTGTCTCACATGTCTCTGAATGGTGGTGGGTAGAGTGTAGAGGTAGAAAGATCTGTTTTAGGAGGAAGGGGAAAGAATAGCCAGGGGCTATTAAATCACTTGCGCCACTAAATTCCTGTGTATCCAGTTTCTTCATTTTAAAGCTCACCCTTGTCAGTTCGCTTTGCAACATGGAGAGTAATGAATACATTTATATATATATATATA